GTCACATTCTTGAACTTAAAACCTAAACCTTAGATACACCTGAATACCTTAAATTACTCATTCTAGATATATATATAAGCTTAAGAAACATAAGAAACTAATTCATACACCAATATGACACTCAAACCCCCCCCCGTTAAAAAATTAGTCAAATTGATTCCAGTTGGATTTTAAATTTTAGAGGAGGTTAAGAGTTCAAAAATCTCTCAAATCCGATATATGGTTTGAAAGTTATAGTAAAAAACAAGTTTGTTTACCGAAGTTCTATTTTGGTCACTGTGTACGCAAGGTTTATTCACACGTAAGAAAGCCCAATGTGTATGGGACTTATGTCAATGCGCCGGCAAAATTTAGGGCATTTGTGGAGCTTTTTTTTTGCCTAGATTTTTCGGTAATCTCCGAATAAGACTTTTTCTCATCCAAGTAACCTTAGCTCGCAAACCACAAAACTGCCCCAAACGCCTAAAAACAGTCGCCTTTAACCGTTCATGCCGTCCACGTTCGAGGACTAACCGTGCGAGTTAGAATTGCTCGTAAAAGATCGACGGCTCAGATTGAGCCACCGTTTGGTCGGGGTGTTAACTTTTTAATGGCTGGAAGGTCTCCATCCTACCAAATTTACTATTTTACTCCTATGCTCTGAAAACCCTAGGTTCCACCTACATCTAACCCTAGGCTCCCTAGGTGCCCCAGCAACCACAGAGAACTCACCACCTCTCCAACTCTTAAAAAGACTTCAAAAGCCGTAAAAATTATGTTACGGACCACTACAGGACTACCGTAGACTACCATGGTCCATACACACCTCGAGGCAACTTCAGGTTTGATCAATTTTTGACAGCAAGCCTCTCTGGCCCAACTCCCAAACTAACGATGGGAGGGAATAGTAATGTGGGCCCAATTTTGCTTCAAATAGCTTGATATGTTTATTATTATAATATTATTATTATTGTTATTATTATTATTCATAATATGTAATAATATATTATTATTATTATTATTATTATTATTATTATTATACATACTATTTTACTATTAAGATTTTGTCATTAATATATTATATTATATTTTTTATAATAATATTATATTACTAATACTAGTCAAATACAATAATAATTACATTTTTTATTCTTATAATGTTATATATTAATGATATTATTGATATATTATATAATCATCATCATCTGAGCCTTATCCTAACTATTTGGGTTCAGCTACACGAATTCTATTCTGTCATTTTGCGCTATCAAGGACCACACCTCAATCAAGTCATAGGTCACCATATCTTTTCTCATTACTTCTATCTATGTTCTTTTAGGCCTTCTTTTTACCCTTTTAAAGCCTTCTACTTGAAATAAATCGCTAACCGGTGTTGTTTTAAGTCAACACTATACATGGTCAATCCACTTAAATCTACTTTTCTTCATCTTATCACCTATTAGAGCCACTCATAAGTTCCCTAATATGTATTAATTTGGGATTCTATCGTTTCTTGTTGTACCACTCATCCATCTCAACTGCACTCCTTCTATGGATATGTTGTCTCCTGACTGCCCAATATTTAGCTCATAAAGTATGGTTGGTCTTACAACCATCTTATAAAACTTATCCTTCAGTTTCACATTCAATTTCATTGGTATACAACAATCATATAAAACTCTAGAAGCACATTTCTATTTTAATCATCCAGCTCTAATTCTATGTGCGATATCTTGCTTAATCTCTCCATTTTTATAGATTATTGATCTCAAATGTAGAAAATAATATCTTTTAGATACTTCCTGATCATCAATATTAAGCTACTTCTTCGTTTCTATTCCTATTATTGCTAAACATACATTCTATATATTATGTTTTAGTCCAACTAATTTTAACAACCTTTAGATTTTAGAGTGTACTTCTAATATTCTAATTTTACATTGATCTCATCTCTAGTCTCATCAATCAAAACTATGTCATCCACAAACAACATATACCATGGTACGTCATTCTATAGATGTTGAGTTAAATTTTATCCATAACCAAAACAAAGAAGTATGGGCTTAATGCTAACTCCTGATATATGCTTACTATCACTTAAAACTCACTTGTCGCTCTATTACTTGTCCTCGAATTAGTTAGCGCTCCCTTGTGTATATCTCTCACTATGTTAATATATCCTCTAGCGATTCTTTTTTTTTTTTTTCTAATACGTACTAAATAACTCTTTAGATGCCCTATTAATGCTTTCTCTAAATCAATAAATACTATGCATAGATCTTTTCACTTTTCCCTAAACTTTTCAATCAATTGCTTTAAGTGAGAAAATATCCTTAATTATTGACCTCCTTGACATAAAACCAAACTGATTCTTTGATACACATGTTTTATATCTTAATTTTGCTTTAGGGTAATTCAATAGGGATGATGAGCCCTTACCCTTTTTTTGAAATTGTTAGTGATTTTTTGAATGAGTTAGGTGAGAATGGAAGCCTAGACTTTAGCTGGAATACAAATGGTACTACCACCACGACCCAAACCTTATTCTCAAGTGTCCCAATGATATTCATCTATTCATATGCACTTTCTTTGTTCTCACGATCTTGTTGGAAGGCTTGGTTAAACATAATATATTACTATCTACCATGCACTCTGAAACTTCTATTGGGATATCATCTGGTCCTAAAGTCTTTTCTATTTTCATCTTTCTCAAAGCTTCTTTCACTTCAAATATCTCAATCTTATAAATGAATTTTTGAATCTGACCTTATTGTCAAAGGTTCCTCCTAATACTATGCTCCCATAGTGTTTATTATTAATAATTTTTCAATAAAAAAAATTTCTTCGCCTTATGTTGACCTTGTCATCTTTCACCAAGACCACTGTTATATAATACATTAATTTTGACAATAAATTCCTTTATTATTTGTTCGATTGATTGGTGTATTTATAATATATATTTATTTGATGGAAGGCATTCTCATTATTGCTATTATGTATTATATAGAATAAAATACATGGTATATATTCATAAATAAGTACTAACTAATATAATATTTTGTATATATTATATTATATTGTATTGTATAGTATTATATTTTAATCAAATAATTTATTTATTAGGATCATATACAAAAAATATAATAATAATAACAATAACAATGATAATAATAATAATAATAATAATAGTAGTAGAGGTGGAAAGGTTAGTGGGCAATATTCTCCCAAGTGAATCAAAGCTTACTTCTCCATGGTCATGTTATTCATAAAGCAATTTTTTTGCTTTAAGATAAATGTTTTTTGGGGTAAGTCGTGGGGAAGACATGCCCCTATCCATTTTTTTTAGATATATAAAGAAATTAGTTTTTTTTGAAGGTGTCAATAGGTGATATCAGGAGGATTGAAAACCATAATGTGGTAATTAGGCATGGGGTGCCATCACCAACTAAGTATAGGGTGCGATCACCACGACCCAGCCCCTTTCCTAGTCGGTCAAATAACTTGAGTTTGCATACTTTAGGATCAAAACGACCCATAAGAGTTAGCGTCAATCGCGCTGGGAGATGGGCCGCTCCACCCCATCAATCCACTTTAGGCTAGAACATTTGTTTCTCTGTTGGAGCAAATTGTTCAGTCGCTGAGCAAAATGCCAAGCCTGGGAGTCTTACTTTAAACTTTCATCTAATCTTTATTCATCTCAGTGATCAATTTGAGAGAGTGAAAGAGGTGTTTTTGTGTACTGTAAATAATACAAATGAATGTCAAAAATAATTTAAAAAAATCCAAATGACTGTCTATTTCAGTAGTGAACATGAGCAGAAACCAATAATAACAAATATGAATTTTTAAGAGCTAAAAATTCATTTTTTTTTTATTTTTCATTTATTTCATTTATTTTTTATTGATTAAAAGAAGATGCGTTAGGGGATGCACTTGTACAATAGCATCCCATGACACATTAAACATCCATTTACAAGATGGATCTTAAAAAGTAATAATCCCACTAAATTTTGAAATTAATGGTGTTGAAATTTTATCAAGAGATTTTATTTTTTATTTTAAAATTTTACATTTTTTTCGTATTCCTACTTGGTTAAGATTTTCATTCCCTAAAATTTTAAATTCAAAATCCAAATCTAAAATAATTTTAAATCCAAAATCCACATCTAAAATAGATCTTAGGAAGAGGACGAGATGACTCATTTGAATAATGGAGTCGGCCGAGTCGTATAAACCTTGTCGTTCAATCAAATAACCCCGCTAGCAGGGTCTGACTTGGCCGAGGTGGCCAATTTGTAAAGGGTTCTCAACGGTGATCCTTGCCCTGCCACCAATGGTCATCCCTTGTCGGCGTTTTACTAATCAGACCTGCAGGTTGAATCCGGCACCCACCGGTTTCGGGCCGACCAGACCGACTCAACAACACCTAAGCCAATTTAGAAAAAAAAAAAAAAAAGCAAAAAAATTGTAAACAAAATCTATAAAATTTAAACAAAATTTGGAAACTTTAAATCATATAAAAACAATAAATACATGATAAACAGTATTTTTTAATCTAATTTTTAGGTACATTTGGCAAACTCTCGAGTTGGGGATAAAATTTGACCAACTGTTTTCTAGTTCGACTCGGACGGTTCTGAGTTGACTTCTGTTTTTCAAACAGGATCCCACCAAAACATGATGTCGGGCAAAGCGTGAGGTGAGGTCTATATCCTCTCTTGAGCCCAGTGCAATACAACAGGGAACACGTGCGATAGAGAAGAGCTGACTGGTGAACATGGGTAGATGAAGAAGCTGAAATGTAATGTTCAATTTTGATGAGCCCTAGGAGATGAGGAAATTTCAAATATAGGGTGCTTGCATCCATGAAACTCTAGAGATTTGAGACTTGAATATTAAATGTACTTCATATGAAAGAGCCTTAAAATACCCTTATTTCTTAAAATAAGCTTGAATAGGTCAATGAAATTCCAAAGACCAAAGTATTTGTTACAACTAAAACTTTAAACACACATTGAAAATGAAACAATCTTGAAAGAAATTATTTACCTTGAATATTTGAATACACAACTGTACATATTATACATGTTAATTGTCCTTCAATAGGGGGAAGATAAAACATTAAAACCCCTTTCATGAAGATATGAACTTCATGTTGAAAGTTCAAATCTAGGCTGAGTCAATTGACATGAAGGGAAGATGATTGTGGAGTATCATGTTGCATATTTTGTTGAATGTTGTCTTCTTCAAAGTCATGAGGCCATGGAATGAGGCTTGATGGAGGGAAGCAACAGTCACAGTCAGTTTGGCAGGGCATTGGTCTCCCCCAATGGCTCTTTGGGCCCTCTTCTTTCACAGTGGACCATTCTGCTAAACCCTCACCACTCGCTTCCACTGTCTTATGGGCCCCCTGTGATAGCACAAAAAGATCAATAACCAAGGGAAAAAGATCTCTTCTAAGTAATCATATACTCTATAATCTGAAGGACTATGGAAGAAACCTTACTCCACTTGATCATCACAATCCATTGAAATCATGGATGGTGCGACCCACCACTGAGCTCGATATTATGTTTATAAGGAACTCCCTCTATTTATCCATCACTGTCCAGCATATAGATGAGCAGTGATTATCCAGTGGACTACATTTTTCTTGATGCTCCATAGTCACCGTATATCTTTTTGGTTTCTTTTTTTTAACGTTAACCGTTATTAGTGTGAAGCAACTTTTTGAAAATGTTAGTATTTTTGGAAAGGGTTTAGTATTAGTAAGAATGGAAACCGGCAGCTAAGTGACGGGTGGTGCTACTACTACTTTGAACTCAACCCGATTCCTACTTGTTATATCTTTTCTTTCAATAAATTTATTAAAAAATACGTAAGAGATCAAATATTTAACCTTTTATCCATATCTTTTGATTTAATCTCAAAGCACCAATCAAAACTCCCATGATTACGAGTACAAAGACTTAAAAGCGTTGTTCGCAAATCGTCCGATCTAACCGCTAACCACCCAGTTAGATCTGGCCAGTTTCGATTTTGAGCGGTTAGGGAGATCAATTGGTATTTTTTAAAAAAAAGTATATAAATTCCCAAAAATAAGAAATTTGATTTGTAATGCATTTTTAAATATTCTTTACATTATGGTAAAGATTAAAAATTCTTTTGGTCATTAATACTCACTTTTATATTTTCCCATCTTTTTTAAAAAAAATTAAAAATAGCCCTTGAAAAATATAAAATGGGTTAAAATCTATTTTTTCATTAATTTTTAACTTCATTTAAATGTGTTTTGTTTTATCATTCTTTCTATGTTTTTTATATTTTATTAGATTTTTTTGTACTTTTATTTTATTTTTTAACACTTTTTTTACCGCCCCAAGCTTGTTCGATTAGAGTGGTTGAATCAACCGATTTACCGATTAGGCCGATTAAACCGCTTTCATACCCATATCCAGGTAACCGTTCCGAAACTTAAAAGTGACGACCATGTTAAATAATTGAGAAATCCTTTTGGGTGCAATTTGTACAAAGCCTAGGCTCTAAACAATCACATTAAAGCCTACCTTGAAATAGTATCAAGAAATATGGTTTCAATACTGAAAATCTATGTAATAGCTTTAAAATATATTTTAATCTTTATTTATGAAGTTTAAAGCTTAAAAAATAGTGTAAATCTACATATCTATGAAAATTTGAAAATCTTGAAAATTGACAGTCCAAAATGCATTACAAAAACACTATTTTCAAAACTTGAAATCTATTTTTTTCTCTTGTTCATACATCTTGATGTCGAGATGATCAATTAGAAGATATTTGGGCATCATAATAACGTTTTCTAGTGAAATTTTTGTAATGGGCTCCAATTTGATTGTTTAAAGCCTCGACTCTATATAAACTTTTTCCAATCCTTTTTGACCTTTTCCTTTTGCGTCTCATGAGATAGGGACCCTAGGCATCTTCGTGTGGTCCCATTAGAGTACACGTGGGATCGCTATCTTCTCTTTTTCTATTCCATAAGAATCCACGTAATATAGCTATCTTTGAAAAGAGAATTCTCTTCTATTTCTTTTTTTAGAAATGCACTTGATCCTATGACAAGTATTTTTCTTTAGGAACTTTAGGGAACAAATGATTAAATATGAGCAGCAGGGATGTCTTGATCTCCATTCTCACTAACGGAATTTCCCGAGCCCATATCTAAATGTCGGCGTAGCAATAGACCAGGACCCGAGGGATAGACCCGATCTGGGTACAGGTAAAGGTCCACAAATTAGATCCACCGGGGGCGGGTCTAGAAATTTGGACCTGAACACTATTCAGATATGGGTCTAGTAATATTTTTTGGATCTTAATATATTAAATATATTTATAATACATAAATATTTTAATTTTTGAATCGGATCCAATTGATTTAGGTCCAGGAAATTTGGATCCAAGCCCGGGCCCAACCCGAACCGTTGCCACCCCTATCGAAATGTTCCTCTTGGAACTCAACATTTTCTAGTCCTTGTAGAGTAATTATTTAGGAGAAAATGAAAGGTTTAAAATTGCACTCATTCAGATAGCCGTTGATTGATCAGGATAGCTGCTACTAACCTTAGTTAAAGATTTAACTACGACTAAAGTAACCTCGGTCAACAATGGCCCATATAGATATGTTTTTTCCATATTACATAATACGATACCCGATGATATCCATTAAAGAAAGGCTAGGAGTGGTGGGAAATCTTTACACCAGCGTTTTAAAAAACGCCGAGTCGAATCGGAAATCACAAAAAGTGGATCGTATCGGCTAAAAAATTGGAAATCGTCCGGTTCTAGAGAGAACCGGACGATTCTGTACAGTGACTTGCCGATTCACCATACGGAATCGGCGAGTCCGAACAGTGAATCGGTGAGTCCCGTACGGATTTTTTTTTTTTTTTTTTAAATGTAATCCATGATAGATTTTTTTGTAATACTTGATCGATTTTTTTGTAATCCATGATTGAATTGTTTTTGTTTTTTTGTAATCCATGATCGAAATGTTTGTTTTTTTTTCTTGTAATCTATGATCGAA